TAAAGGGCCAGCCTGTGGACTGAAGAGTCCCAGGTTTGATTCCCGTCAAGGGCACATGCCCCTGTTACAGGCTTGATCCCCAGTCGGGGATATGCAGGAGGCAGCTAATCAATGATTTCCTCTTATCATTGATGTTTCTATGTCTCTCTCCCTCTTCATTCCTCTCTTAAATCAATAAAATATATATTAAAAAATATATATAGCATGGTAGACAATGCTAGATGCTATGGAAGAAAGAGAAGCCATAAAAGGGAGTATGGAATGTAGAGAAAGAAGAGGTAGATTTTAAAGGAGGGTGGTGAGGGTGGTCAGGAAATGAAAGTGACATCTAAGCAAAAACCTGCAGGAAGTTTGGGTGAGCCAGGCAACCAGTGAGGGAGGTGTGCCCGGCAGAGGGACACCGTGCAAAGGCCCTGAGGTGTGCCCGTGTCCAGTGAGGCTGGGGGCGAGGGGTAAGAGAAGTCAGAAAGGAAATGGACTTTGGTTTTTCACTCATGTGAGCAGTGAGACAACAGGACTGGCTGGCATTTTATTCTGGCTGCCATGTGAGCAGCCTGAAGGGAAGCCAGCAGGGAAGCAGGCCCTGGGTGAAGTGTGAGAAGGTCTGGCTTCTCCTGCCTCTGTCACCAGGCTACATAAGCAGAACAGGATAACTTCCAGGGAGAGGAAAGCTTGGGGTGCAGGACATCCAGATATTAACTCTCTGGGTGAAGGAGAGAGAGAGAGAGAGAGAGAGAGAGAGAGAGAGAGAGAGAGAGAGAGAGAGAGAGAGAGAGAGAACAAGAGAACAACCGGAGAGAGCTGCAGGGAGTTGGGCTGCAGGGCTGTCATGGAGGTTCAGGAAAACACTCCTTGCTGCATGGCTCACACGTGTGCCACATATACTAGTACCGTGGTCGGCAAATTGCGGCTCGCGAGCCACATGCTGCTCTTTGCCCCCTTGAGTGTGGCTCTTCCACAAAATACCACAGCCTAGGCGAGTCTATTTTGAAGAAGTGGCATTAGAAGTTTAAGTTTTAAAAATTTGGCTCTCAAAAGAAATTTCAATCATTGCTGACATATACACATAAGGAACTGTTTGAATTGAAATTGGGTCTCAAAAGAACTGTTAGCCCAGAAAGAAACTCACTACAGACTGATTCATATGCCTTTCAGCATAACCATTATTGCTTGTCTCATTTTCGATTCTTGTAAGTATATTTCCAGTAGGACATGATTTCACTCACCTAGGGGAAATGGTGAACAACATAGACTGATGAACAAGAACAGACCCAGAGATAAAGAGCCATGGGTCAGACTGTTGGACCCCAAAGGGAGGGTGGGAATAAAAGGGAGAGATTAACCAAAGGACTTGTGTGCCTAACCAGTGGTCAAGGACAACAGGGGAGGTGGGGGCATGAGTGGGAAGGGGTGGGGGATTGGAATGGGGGGTTGAGGACAAATATGTGATACCTTAATCAATAAAGCAATTTAAAAATAATAAATTTTAAAAAAGAAATTTCAATCGTTGCACTGTTGATATTTGGCTTTGTTAATGAGTTTGCCGACCACTGTACCAGATCTCTCTGGGATGACAGATTTCTCATAGTGGGCCTCTGGGCTGGGACAGAGGGATTTCCTTACCTGCAAACTAGGCATGGTGACAATCCTTGCCAAGCATGTCAGGTTGTGGGAGGAACAACGGAGTCTGACCTTTGGGGCCAGAGTAGACGATGAGCCATTATGGAAACTTCCCCATACTTCCTGAGAGGGAGTATCTGTGAAAGTGCAAACAACCCAGGGCCTCCACCAGTCACTGACACTCTTGTGAAGTGGGCCATTAGTCCCTCGCTAGATCCTAAGACAGAAGAACCCAGGACAGTTAATGTTCCTCTTGGAAGAGGAGGAAAAGGGCTGGGTCCAGCAAAATGGATGAACTACTCAAAGTAGAGGTGCTGAGAGAAGGTAACGGAGGGGAGTGTTAAGGACACAGGCAGAAACACCCTGTCCATCTTAGAATGTCAGCCAAGCAAGGAGGCAACAACAGAAAATAAGCGTGTGGTCCTGGGTTCAAAGCTGGGCTCTGCTACTTCCTAGATGTGTCTCTTCCAATCTCATACCTTTGGGTGTTTTGGGTTATTTTTCTTCCTTCTTCTTTAAGAAGGGAGTAGGAGTGTTGGTGAGATGTCTGTCACTAAAAAATTCTTACAAAGCTTAAATAAGTCAACTGTGGGAAAGCTGTAAACATTGCATTGTTACTATGCACACAAGACAGCCCAGAAAGGGCTGCTCTGGATCAAGGAACAACCAAATCTCAGGAGCCAGCAGGCCCCATCTGGGCTGGCCCATGCAGCCAGCTGCAAAAGCTGACCAACACAAGGCTCTGTGGATCGAGAGCAAATGAGCTGACCGGTCTTGAGATTGCAAGTCTCAGGGTCGTTAGTCCTGGACTGAGCAGAGATCACTGTGTTAAGCAGGCAAAAGGAGGACTGTGTGTCCTTTCAATGTCATCCTGGGAAGAATTGAAGAGCTAAGAGTTACGCAAGTCTCTAGGACAGTGGTCGGCAAACTCATTAGTCAGCAGAGCCAAATATCAACAGTACAATTGATATTTCTTTTGAGAGCCGAAAACAGACTTCTATGCATGGGCCATTAAGTTTCAATCACACTGTACACGCATGCCTGCATGTGGTATTTTGTGGGAGAGCCACACTCAAGGGGCCAAAGAGCGGCATGTGGCTTGGGAGCCGCAGTTTGCCAACCACCACTCTAGGGGAATGTACTTTGCTTTTATAGTTTACTACTGATCAGTGTCTTGGCTTTGAGAACTTACACGCTACTATGCATTTGCATGTACAAATATGTATAAGCATGTATGTGAAGATGCAAAGGATTTTAGTCCAGTAGAGAACCACACAATTTATGGTTTTATTGACTTGTAAGACATTAACCAGTTTCATTTCTTACTTTAGCAAACTTACTTCAGTATGTCTTTCCCAACTAAATATACAAATCTTTGCATCTCAAATGCTCCTTGGAGAAACCAGTTTACCATTCCTCTGGTTCCCTTCTTAAAAAAGTTAAGTAAGTCTTGGATAAAAGTCATGCTTTGACAAAACCCCCAAATGAGGACTCTGCCATACTTTGGCATGGGCCAGTGGCTTTGGGCCAGGCAATCGGCCTCTGAGCCTCACATATCTCATCTGCCACAGGGAGAAGGCACCCACCTCCAAGACTGAGGTAGGGCTGCAGTGGGGAGAGGGACGGGAAAGTACATCATTCACAGCATGCAGAAGGCAGGACTCATTGTTATGACTCATCACATTAGGCTACTCCAGGGCTAGAAGGTCCCAGCCTCTGAGGGCTGCATTCTCCCAGGCTTGGGACACAAACCAGGGGAAAGGCAGGTAGGGCAGCCCTGATGCTAGACTCCGTGTGCAGGAGGTGCCATGCTGATGCTGCATTCTCCACTTGTGATGAGGCCAGGATTTCCCATGGGCCTCGGGTCCTGGAGGATGGAGACCTTTCAGGACCACACAGGGGCATGGAAAGGATGGAGGACTAGAGTGCGAATCTGACCAGGAGCCTGGGTGGGGTATTCTAAAGGAGGGACAAGTGTCTTCAACCAACACCAGGTCCCTAACTAGCAGCCTCTGTAGCCTGTCAGAACCTCATCATATTATTTTGTGGGTAGGAAAGTGCCCAACTCAACTGACAGCACAATAGGATCTCTACCCTTGCTATCTGCATACTTGTGTGGCTGCACACGTACATGCAAACACACACACATACAGAGAATGATGTCAGTCAGGGGTCCAATAAGCAATGTAGGCGGCTAAGGTCAACAACAGCCAACCCTGCACAGAAGAAGGGAGCACAGAGCCAACAGAAAGAGAAGAAGAGGAAAGGCATTCCAGGCCCAGGGAACAGCCGGAGGAGAGGCTGGAAGGCAGAATTAACCTGCAGAATGTGGGGGAAGGATAAGATGAGGCCATCAGAACTGGCCTGAGTGACCTGTAATCATGGAAGTTAATAATCCACTGCCCCTGTGGTGATGGTAAGAAGGGAGTGGTCAAGGGCTTCCAACTGGGTTCTCCCCTGCAGGGCCACACCCCATAAGGGGTATGAGAACCCCCTTTTTCCTCATAGGTCTCACTCCAGGTTCAGTCCAGTTAGTGTCTCTATAAGCCAGCCCAGCCTTGCCCCATCCTGGAATGCCTTCATTGGTAGCTGTTCTGCCTTAAACCCTGGGTTCACAGACTCTTCCCATTTGCTTAAGCCTTCTCCCCATCTCTCCTCTCCTGAGCTCTCTTTGTCTCCACCATATGAATCTCCCCTTTCATCAGCTAATTATCCCAAATATTTCCTCATAGAGTTAGTGTACCCTCCTTCCTGGAGTTAGTACTTTTCCTCTCCCTATCTTCCTTTGCCCTGATTTCCTCGGTACTTTGTTTTTTATATATTGGGGGTGGGGGTGGGGGGCAGGAGTTTGTTTTTGCACGTTGCCTTCAACCCTTTGTGGACCAAGACATAAGTATGTGTGAGCCTTTTGTTGTCCTGTCAATGTTAAGACGAATTGTTTTGGACAAAACTCTAAGCTTTGTGGACCCCTGACTGGCAACTACAGATTACATTAGGGCAAGCACTATGCAGGGCCCACAGTAGTTGCCTAATTCTTGCCCCGTGATTGGCAGTTTAACATTCCTTAACCCACTCCTAGCCATGCTCAATTACTGGTCCATCATTCACCTACAAGCCTAGGTGATAAAAATCCCACTCCCCTGCCTTTCCACTGACCCCCAGCTCTCAGAAAAGCTCAAATAATTTGAGGACTCACACCCCAGCATTGCTCCCTGAGTTTCTTGGACATGTACACACCACCAAAAGACATGCGATTTAGACCTCGCAATCAGAGAGAGAGAGAGAGACGTTCCCTGCCCAACTAAGGCCGGCCTCATAGACTCAGCCACAGCCCAGGGAAGACTCAGGAGGTCGTCCCCTCCTAGAGCCGGGCCCAGGAGTCACAGTTCGGGCGTGGTCAAGGCCACAGGCCCCGGAGCACCGCGAGGCAGCCTCAGGAGAAAGGTCTGCAAGGAGCCGGGCCGCGGGAAGCCCGCCTTCTCCCTGAGCAGCCGCCACGTGCTGCCCTCGATGGCGTAGAGCAGCGTGAACATGCGGTTGACGGTGTAGACGGTGTCGCCGCGCACCACCGCCGTGAAGAGCGCCCCCTTGCTGTTGACGAACTGGCCGGGCAGCGCCGTCCACTGGCCCGTGGCCAGGTTGAGGCAGTCGATGGCGCAGTGCAGGAAGTCGTCCGACGGCCCGTTGCGCACCACGTAGAGGCTGTCGCGGTGGGCCACCATGTAGTGGCCGTAGCTCTGCGGCCGCTGCAGGTCGGCCACCGGCAGCCAGGCGTCGGCTCGCCCCGCGTACTCCACCACGGCCGTGGTGTCCGCCGGCCGCCACAGGCACACGAAGAGGCGCCCGCGCGCCTGGGCGCAGGGCACGCCGGCGGCCGGCTGCGGCAGGTCCGCCACGAAGCTCCAGCAGCCCGTGGCCGGGTCGTAGCGCTCCACGGAGCTCATGGCGGTCCTCTGGAACTCGCCGCCGATGGCGTAGAGGCGGCCGTCGAAGCCGGCCAGCGCCGTGTCGTAGCGCGGCTGGTGCGGGCTGGGGATCGCGCGCCACGTGCCGCCGCGGTCGTCGGGGTCGTAGCAGAAGCCCAGCTCCACCACCTCCTTGCTGGCGCCGCGCACGCCGCCCACGATGTACAGCTTGTTGCCCAGCGTGGCCACGCCCGCCAGCAGCGTGCTGGCCTCCAGCGGCAGCGCGGCCAGCGTGCGCCACGCGTTCTCCTCCTCGTCCAGGTAGCACACGGTGCGCGACGCGTCCTCCAGGAAGCCCGGCGCCGGCGTGTGCGTGCTCACGGCCACGTAGCTGCTGGGCCGCAGCGCCGCCACATAGGCGCGCGCCTCCGGCAGCGCCAGCTCGGCCGCCAGCTCGCGCGCGCCGTCGCGGATGAAGAGCGCGGCGCTGTGGAACACGTCCCGCAGGCCGAAGGCGGCCGCCGCGTCGCACAGCGCCGCGCAGTTGTCGGACGTGAGGCTGTGCTCCAGGAAGCGCGCCAGCGCGGGCGCCTGCAGGAAGGCGGCGCACTCCACGGCCTGCAGCAGGTCGTCCGCCGCCTCCAGCGCCGGCCGCTCGCCGCGCAGCACCCGCAGCGCCGTGCGGAAGCCGCCGGGGCTCAGCGCGCCCAGGCGCACCTCGGCCGCGCGCGCCTCCCGCATGCCCGAGCGGAAGAGGCCGCGGAAGAAGCCGCAGTGCTCCACCAGCAGGGCCCGGTCGGCCTGGAAGAGCTGGCCGTCCACCCACACCTGCACCGGGACCTGCGGGCTTGGAAGCATGGCGAGCCGGAGGGCGGGGAGCCGCCGCTGGGGGGGACCTGGGTTCAGCGGCCACGGACTCTGGGGCTCCCCACCCCCGGAGCAGCGGAAAAACACTTCCCCGGGATATAAATATATCCCTGGCTAAAGATAGGATGGCTCATGTGATGTGGTGGCTGGCAGGTTGTAGGGCCCTGCGCGCAGAGGGCATCAGAGACCTGCACGGTCACCCAGTCCTTCATGGGAAATGATAGGAGTGCCCACATACTGAGCATCCACCTGCGGCATGCCGGGCAGTGTGAGGGATGCTTACAAAGATAACCTGTTTAACCTGCACTACACCAGCGGCATGCTTTTCTGTAAGCAAGTGCCCTCGCTACCAGATCCTCTGTTTCCTCAAAATAAAGAGGGGCTAATAACACCTCTTTCACGGTACAGGTATTCCCTGCTTCTTTAAAGTTCGCTTTATGCCGCTTTGCTTTCTTGAAAGACCCACATTACTATCTGTTTTCACTAAATAAAGATTAGTATCTGAAAATCAAAAGCAAGCGTTCAGTGTTTTGTAACCAGTCCTTGTAGGAGCAGCTGGTACCCTGAGCAGCAGCCAGAGTGGCCCCTCCAAGCTCCTTCCCTGGAATTACACTCAGCATCTCAACATCAACCCGCGTAACTCTATACTGTGTCTGTGAGCATCTCTGCTTTCTTTATTTTCTGCATCCATTAGCAAGATAATGGCTTTTTCGCTTTTAGGCTATTTCGATTTGCAAAAGGTTTTGTAAGAACACAACTTTCGGATAATTGGAACAGTATCTTTAGTGTTCAGAATAAGGTTCAGAAACTATTCCGTGACTTGTTCAGGGTCATTCAACTGGGAAGAAGCAAGGACGGGATTAATACCTAGCCCACACCATCGGCTGGTGGGCACGGAGTACTTGGGCACTGGAGGGACGAGGCAGAGGTGGAACAAATAGGTGAGCCAGATGGGTCTGGAGCAGAATGCTAACCTGGTCTGGGCCTACTCCAATCTCATTTTGAGCCTGGATTTTCTTCTCTAAAAATGGGAGGGTAGCACGTATCTAAAAAGCCCCTGAATGTGGAAGTACTTCCTGACTTGGGTTGAGAATGGGAAGCTGATGTCTACTCTGCACTTGCCAGCACTCCTCCGCTTCTGTGTCTTTAAACCTTCAGAAAAGGAAAATGGGGCTGCGGATCATGTATCTCTGGATGAGAAGGAGAAGGGCTTCTTGAAATAATAATAGTTAGCACTTAAATTGCACTGTGTGTCAGACACTTTTGTAAGCACGTTAATTCCCATAATTATTGTAACAATCCTATGAGTAAATGCTATTATTTTCCCTCGTTTAATAGATATTTTCTACTTATTGGTTATAGCAACACTATGACTTTTTTATTTTTATTGATTTCATAGAGGAAGGGAGAGGGAGAGAGAAAAACATTAATGATGACAGAGAATCATCCATCGGCTGCGTCCTGCACACACACACACACACACACACACACACACACACACACACATACCCCGCTAGGGATCGAACCCACAACCCAGGCATGAGCCCTAACGGGATTCGTAGGTTGACACTCAACCACTGAGCCGCACCAGCCGGACAGTTACATACTATTAATGGCCCCACTTCATAGACTAGGAGACTAAGGCACTAAGAGGTTGTCACATCCTCAAGGTCACATGGCTGGAAAGTGGCAAAGCTAGGACTGGCATGCAGCCAGTCTGACTCTAGAGCATGTGCCCCTAACCCCTGTGCCTGCTGTCTCTCTCCACTACAAATGCTGGGCCAGGAGGTCACAATTGGAAGGAACCTCAGGCTCATAAGGCTCAACACCTTTATTTATAGTGGAAGATCAGAAAGAGAATTGCCCAGGGTCAATTAGCTTGGGGCAGACAGTCCCAGGCCTCCTGCTGTCCAACCGTGAGGCAGTGTTTTCCCCCTGCACCGAACTTTCTTGCGTGACTGCCTAAGAGTCTGGGTCCCAAAATGTCAGTTGGAAGGGAGCTTAGTGATTATTTTCTCCTGCTATCTCATTCTACTGGTGGGGAAACTGAGGCCCAGACCTGTGTAGGATGATACCTGCCATTCTGGAGATGTTCAGCTGCAGGACTACTTCAGGAGGATGGAGAGGCTCACAGTGACAGAGTGGGAGTTGGGAGGAGGCAGGAGAGTTTCCCTTCCCCAGGAGACAAGCACGCACAGACCCTCACGTACGAATCTGCAGAGCCAACACAAATGTGCCTCCCCTGCCAGGGAACTGCCACCCAGTTCACTGCATCAAAGCAGGTCTGGGATGTGGGGACCACTTTTGTGAGCCTGGGAAGCCAGAGGCCTGGAGGAGGCAGCCAGAAATATCCTAGATGCTCTGCCCTAGGGACCAGACAGGAAGAGGAAGTGGAGTTGGGAGGGGAGGGGCAGGAGTCCCCATGAACATTATCCCAGGCCCTCTGCCAGCCTCTTTCCTTCCCTGAGGCCAGTCACTGGCTGACAGGGAACATTTGTGACCATCTCCCTGTTGGAAGAAAATAGACTCTGCAGTGCCTGGTCTTCACTATCCTTGCTGGTGGGCTCGGGCGTAGGAAGTGGGTATCTGACTATTCCCATTTCACAGACGAGGAAAGGGAGGCCCGGAGATGGAATGGACCTTTCCTTGATTATGAACAAAGATGTGGGACTGGATTGGACCCTGTCCACGGATCCCAGGTCCCAGCCCAGCTGCCTCTCCTCACCAGCACTACTCAAGGAGAGAAACTGCTGTCTCCAAGCTCAAGCTAAGAGGCGGGGTTGAGAAGGGGCTGACACCCAGGAGGCCACAGTTTCCTCCCAAATGGCCTGTTTCAGGTAGGTAGTAACTGACAGACACAACCAGATGGAGCCATTGCCTGGACCGCTCCTGAGAACTAGGGGGGAAAGGAGAGCAAATCCCTCCTGGCTGAAGCTTGCTCCCAATCTCACACTTCCCCAAGTCCAGCCCTGGCTTGAGTGTGTTGGGACGCTGGTGCACACACACCCCCTTTGGAGCCAGCAGAAGGGAGGGGTTCACTCAAGGTGGTGGTCATGGTTCTGAGGCTGGGCGGAGAATCAGGCCTTTGGCTCTGCCCCAAGACCCCAGTGGGGTGTTGTCTGCAGATGGTGAGTTTCCTCCCCCAGGCAGTGAGCGTCCCTCTGGGACTCGGAGAGGACAGGAACTATCCTGGCTGTGGGCAGCCCACGGAGTTCCCAGGCCCTGCCTGACCTCACACCAGCCTCCTCCTCCACTTTGCACCCCTAATGCTGTGCAAGGTTGGAGGTGGGGGAAATGAAAGGAGCTTTGCGTCAGACTTCCTGGGCCTTTCTAGAGCATACGCCCAGTCTTTTTTGTCTCTATACAGAATGATTGGCCCACAGGAAGGGGTCTGTTACGTGGACTCCCGGGCCCTAACCTAAGTAGGAGTCCCAGTCGGATGGAGGAGACATAGCCCTTGCTCTGGGAGGGGTCCCCACAGTCTGATGGGGGACCCCTGGCCTTTGCTGCCCCTGGTGGTATTGCTACACACAGGGTAGTGAGGAACTCACCTGGACCTGGCAAAGGAAGAACACTGGACTAGGAATCAGTATTACTGCCAGGCTCCGATGCTGGGTCTGGCACTGCTTTGATTTGCAAAAGCTACCCAACCCTCTCTGGGCCTCAGTTCTCCATCTGTAAAATGGAACTCTGGACCTCATTTCCAAGGTCTGTTCAGCTTTGACATTGAGTTTATCATTGTACAACCACAGGAGAGGCTGCCAGGTTGTCCCTCCAGAGAAGGCCGAGACATCACAACGGTCTCAAAGCTTAGCTTTATGTGGAATGGCTCCTGAGGGGTGGGTGGCAAGGGTCGGACCAGGCATCCACGAATCCTCCCTGGCCTTCCCATCTAGACCTGCACATGCCCCACTCATCCCCTCCAGACACATCTCTTTTTAAAAATAGTTTTTTATTTATTTCAGAAAGGAAGGGAGAGGAAGAGAGAGATCGAAACATCAATGAGGAAAGAGAATCATTGATTGGCTGCCTCCTGCACACTCCCCACTGGGGATCAAGCCTGCAACCCAGGCATGTGCCCTTTGGTTCAACAGGAATTGAACCCGGGATCCTCCAGTTGGCAGGCCGATGCTCTATCCACTGAGCCAAACCGGCTAAGGCCAGGCACACCTCTTGAGCACCTGCTGCATGCCCACTGCTAGGCTGGGCGCCACATCCTCTGCGTTTTGAATACTTGAGGGCCTCTTGTAAGAAGCGCGGGGAGGGTGGGGCTCCTTGCCCTAGCAGCATGACCTCTCTCTTGACCCGAAGTCCAAACCTCTGGTCACTAAACAGTTTGGCTTGTTAGTAGGTGGGTGAGAAGTGTGTGCTATTCATGTCAGAGGGAGCAGAGGGAACTATCTTTTGCTTTTTGGGGCCATGGGTGGGGGACTCTTTCATGTTATCTCATCTAATCCTTAATATTACCCCTATTTTAAAGATGAGGAACTGAGACTCAGAAGGGCAAAGGAGCTCATTCCAGGGTCTGACGGTAGGGGATTATTCCAAAGGGCTTTGCAGTCCACACTGGCCCTCCTGGGTGCTGGACAAGCAGCCTGCAGAGAAGGGGCGTGAGGATGAGGAAAGGGACTGGTTGCAGTTGGGAGGTCTGCGCTGTCTTCCTCCCACGCCTCAGAGGAGGGGCTGACTTTGGCACTTAGCAGTCACAGCTGAGGGCCTGACTAACCAGCTGGCTACTGGTTCAAATCTCTGAACTGGAAGGGAATTAAGGATCATCTCATCTGATCCTTCGAGTCATGATGGAGTCTCCTCTACAATGCCTCCTTGAAGTAGTTACTGCTTGGTTGTCTTCCATGTTGGGGGCCTTCAGATGGTTAGAGCTCACCCTCACACTGAGCTAGTACACGCCTCCATGCAGATCCCATCTACTTTGGATCCGAGTTTTAAAGAGAAGGAAAACAACTCCCCCCTCACACCAGCAGGGAAGTAGCGAAATGTACCCCTCGTTGGGTCTGTGGGTGTCCACAGCTTGCCCACTCTCGGGGCGCCCTCCAGTGAGACTGGTTCTCTTCCCACAGACCCCATTCAGAACCAGCCTGTCCTCCCAGCCCAGAGATGTGCCTGGAACTTGGCTCCCACTTTTTCTCCTCCGAAAACTCAGGAACACTCTTGGTCATTCGCTCTGTGAGGAATTCTGGCCCGAGGGTGTAATCTAAACAAATTTCTCCCAACACCTTAGAGCCTTAATAACACAGCTGGTTTACCACAGCTCCCAGAAACACAGTTGAGCTGAGTCAGTGTTTATGTCCTGTCCTGGGAAATAATTTTCCTTCTTGGTTGAGGAGTTTAACATTAGGCTCTAATACCCCACTCCCCTCTTGCCTGCTGACCTGGGTTTTTGGTTTCTCTGTGCATGGTGGGTAGATTAGCTGGGTGTGTGTGGGGGGGAGTGGGGGAGGATGGGATTAGGGTGCGAAACGCTGCAGTGAGAGGTCTCTGAGACTCTCATCCCCTTTCCCACTCTAGCCTGCAGTGTATTCCAAAGAGTCCCGACAGAATTTTAGAAAGTGCTCAGGCCTGGAGCCCAGGGCTGATTCCATCACTCTCAATTAGGCCTAAATCACATCGTGGAATTTTGGATTTATTTCCCCTCTTTTTAATATTATAGATAGGGATAAAAGGCCCAAAGAAAGGTCACTCGCCTAAGGTCACCCAGTGAAGGAGCTGGCATAGATCCTAAGTGTCTGGGTCCCCCATGTCATGTGGGCTCTTTGCCCTGTGTCTCACATGAACAGATTTACCCTGAGTCCCAAGGGGAATGACAGGTGCCCCCCACCAGGCTCCACCAACCCCAGAATTATTATTATTTTAAAATATATTTTTAGATTTCAGAGAGGGAGAGAGGGAGAAACATCGACAATGACATCCTTGATTAGCTGCCTCCTGCACGCCCCCTACTGGAGATCGTGCCTGTAACCCTGGCAGGTGCCCTGACCAAGAATAATTCTTAGGTCTACACTCAACCACTGAGCCACCACAGCAAGAAGTGTGCCAGGTTTTAGGACAAATAAAATGCCCATTTACACTCTAGGCTACTAACAGATGCAACTTATTAGCTCTGATCCGGTAGCAATCTGCAATGCAGAATGGGTTTCGTTCTTGAAGCGGAGCCCACATTGGCCATAGACTGTTAGGAGGTCTCATTCACACACACCCCTCCCCCCCAGGAGCCTGGCTCCTGCCTGGGTGCTGCAGAGATGCCTGGAAGTCTCCACAAGGGCAGGGTAGTGCTGCCCTGGAAGTTGTGTGCCAAGGCTGTGACCTAAAAAAAGGGCAAGGCTTGGAGTTGAACCCAGCAGACTTCCCGGAGGAGGAGGCAGGGGAAGCTGGGTGGAACAAAGGGAGGGAGGGACATGCTTGCTGGAAGGAGAGACTGAGCAGAGGTTCAAACTGGGCTGGAAACAGACTTCCTCTCTCTCTCCCTACCCAGGGCCTGGCTCTCTCTGGTCCTTGCCTTCCCGGCCCCGGGGTGGGGTGGGGGAGCAGGGGAGCGCTCCGAGCAGTGACAGCAGCCCCTGGCCCTCCCTCGAGGCCCAGCACGGCGGGGTGCACTGGCGGTTGCAAACCCCCCTCCCCCGCGTGGTCTGCGGGGTGAGCGCGCCCGCGGGGTGCTCCGCAGCCCTTACAAGGACTTTGGCGGCGCTCGGGCAGCCCCGCCCGCCGCGCGCCGCGGCCCCTCCTCCCGCCCCCTCGGGCCGAGCTGCGGGGACCGGCCCGCGCGGACTTCGACCGGGCAGAGCGGCGAGAGCCCAGGGAGCCTGCGAGCGCCCCCGCGGCCCCGACGGGCCGGCGCGCTGCTCGGGGCCTGGGGGCCGAGGACCCCGGCCCTCTCCGCGGCGTGGCCATGTCCTCCGTGTTCGGGAAGCCGCGCGCGGGCAGCGGGCAGCAGAGCGCGCCCCTCGAGGTCAACCTGGCCATCCTGGGGCGCCGCGGCGTGGGCAAGTCCGGTGAGCCGGGCGGGGCCGGGGAGGGGAGGGCGCAGGTGGGGGCCGGGAGCAGAGGAAGGGACGTCAGGGTAGAGTCTTCCACCGGCTTTGGGGGCTTCCTGCGTGCACCCAGGGAGTTGGCCAAGACTCCTTTGCCTCGGTTTCTCTGTCTGCATCCCCTATGGCTCGGTTGGTTGGCACTGTCTCTGCTTTGCTCTCATCTTTCCTCCATTTCTCCTCTGTCTTCTGTTCCTTGCCTGGCTCTCCCTCTGTGTCTCCCTGTGTGTTTCTGTGCTCCATGTCTGTACTCTAGCATTCTCTCCCTTCTGTCCATCTCTGTGTCCCCCAGATCTCTGCGGGTCTCGCCCTCCTGGCTCCCTGACCCCCATCACCTCTCCCTGGGGCCAGCAGTCAGCTTTGGTGGATGGCACCCAAGGACCTCTTAGGCACTATCCCCAGCCCCAGGCCCCTGTGAGCTCAGGCTTGCTACGCCCTGGTTAGGCTGGAGCTGCAGGAGCCACTGGCCTGTGAAGGCAGTGGGTAGAAGTCACTGGCTAGTGGGACTTCCCAGGCCATGCTCCACACTCCCTTCCTTGTCCCCTGGGATTTGGGGGTAACGTGTGCATTCGTATCAAACGTACTTGTTTCAAGCCAGATCCCTCTCTTGACTTTCTGGGAACAAACTGGACTGTGGTCCCAGTGCTAGGACCATCCTTGACAAACCAAGATCTTGGTTTCCATTGAAAACATGACAATCAACACTGGACTCCGTCTCCATCATTCCTGGCAGCTCTCACCCACCTGGGGCCCAGGGGGGTAGGAGCGGAGGAGTCACCACAGACAGAGACCCTGCAAAAGGGTCCAGCTCGCCCCGGCCACTTAGTCCATGGCGGCTGCAGGTGGGAAGCCAGAGAGGCTCCTGGCGGGCTGCTCTCGGGCGGCCATTAGGGAGTGGTCAGCACGGGCTCTGTTAGCGCTGGGCTCCTTCCCCAGGGTGTCTTTTAGGACTCACTGGGGGCTTCCTCTCTACCTTTAAAGCCAGCCCTCTGGCTCAGAGAGGGATGATTCTGAATCACGATTTCCAACAGAAAAGTTTCTCCCCTTTGAAAATAAAATTGTTATCCGGAGCTGTGTCGCTGGTACAGTTTAGCCAGTGGCTACGTTAATGAAAGAATTTAAATTTTAAAAAATATGTATTCCCTGGGTATTGCCTGGCAAACTGACACTGATAGGAATCCTGGGAAAGAATTTTCAGGGTTTTCTTTAAAATATCTCATTACTTTTTAAGAGTACAGTATAACAGTTGGCTGGCCCTTGGCTTTCTGTGGTTAAATTCTGAACAAAATCAGGATTCTGTTAATGCATTGCACCTGGGGATAGCTTCATTCCTAGAGGCACCGTGACGGAGTCCGGAGGCCCCAGAGCCAAGACTGGAGATGTGAATGGCTGAGGACTAGCATGTGTTTAATTAGGACACAGACTTTGCCTGGCCTCGCCTGGAAGTCCCAGGCCCTCGAGGAGTCACACTGCCCCCAGGGATCACCCACTGATCAACTTGGCTCTCACTCTCTCTTTGGCTTGTAGCCGAGATTGGAATAAATGCCGCCCGCTTCGGAATCTCTGTGCCTTGTCCAGGGTGGGAGATGTCTCTTTTCCATTGACTGCTTAGTTTGGATCTTCACAGACACCTCTTAGACTTGTCTCTTATTGCTTTTCTTGCCACCAAAGTAAAAAATCCCAGGGACACAGTTCCCCATAGTTCTGGTCTCTTCTGAGCCTCTCAAACCAGCTCCTCAGCTTCCAGCCGCCTTCCCCCAGAGACTCAGGCTTGGTGTCAGCCAGGGGTCACGGAGGCTAGATAGGCCTCCTAAAAGGAGAGGGGCAGCTCCAGGGCCAGCCAGACACAGCGAGGAGGCTGAGCCAACTTCTTTCTTCCCCTCTCTTCCTCCCTTCCTTCCTTCCTTCCTTCCTTCCTTCCTTCCTTCCTTCCTTCCTTCCTTCCTTCCTTTTTTCCTTCTTTCCTTCCTTCCTCCCTTCCTCCCTCCCTCCATCCCTTTCTCCCTTCCTTTCTTCCTCCCTTTCTTCCTCCCTCCCTTCCTTCCTTCCTTTCTTTTTAAAAAATACTTTTTTACTGACTTCAGAGAGGAAGGGAGAGAGAGAAACATCAATGAGAGGGAATCGTTGATTGTGAGCCAATTCCTTTCTGTTCTTGCAGCCCTGACCGTGAAGTTTCTGACCAGAAGGTTTATCAGTGAATATGACCCCAACTTGGGTAAGGAGCGCCTTCCTATCCCTCCTGCTGAGCCCCGCTTGGACCCGCCCTCTCCCGTGACACCTGCCCTGTGGGGCCCAGGTGCCACCAGGACAAAGATTTGGAGGCAAAGGGGAGGAGCCCCCAGGATGAGTCAGCCACGCCAGGACAATGTGTTAAGTGGTAGAAATACGCCCTCCACAGCCCATCCCAGACATCTTGGGGGTTGGTCAAATTCAGGGAGCTGTGGGATTTGCCCTAAAAAATGAGGCATAGTTGATACTTTAAAAAAATAAATAAATAAAACATAGCAGATGTTTTAATAAATAAATAAACATCCATTTAGTGTTGTTCTTCAAGACGGTCACTCAATGCACTTTTCCAGAATAGCTGGATGAGACATTCGAGAACTTTTCCAGGGCAATTGGCTTCTGAGCCAGCTTTTGAACCCTACAAATAACTAATCTTGTTTTATGGACATATCATGGTATATTAGAAAAAAGGGATGCTCTGCTGTCAGTCAGAACTGAGTTTGAATCCTGACTCTGCCACATATTGGCTGTGCAACCTTAAAGCAGTTACCTAACCTCTCTGAGCTTCAGTTTCCTTATTTGTAAAATGGGCATAAAAACCACTTATTTCAGAGAATTACTGTGACAGCAAAAGAGGTAACACATAAAAGAGCTAGCCTAGTACTTGACCCACAGTAGACATTCAATGCATATTCACTTTTTCCTTCTCCTCTCTCCTCCAATGGCTTCCTATCTATGACGGCTGAGATTCCCTCAAATTAATCAGATGAGTGTTTCTGAAAATTACTTTTAGCAGCAGGACCTTGACCTCAAATGACCTCTTACATGGAACCCCGATGTCTAAAACAAACGCAAGCAGAATTTTATTAGTATAAATGTAACCTATTTATAACATTTGTTATTGTAAACTGTGCCCTAAGAAAAACGAGTTGCCTGGATCTGTTTGCCTTTGAAAATGAAGGTTGCAGTCTTGGATGTTGTCCTCATTCATAATAATTGAATAAAGCCTGTGTGGTACCCCCAGGACCCCTGAGGAAATGCAGGGCTTTGGAGCGCAGGTTGAAAAGCTGCACCATACAGCGCTTCCTGCAGCAGGCCCCTGATGGAATGCCCCGAGACACCTGAAGGAGGGAACTGCTGAGCCCATGGTGCCCACCAGCCCCTCAGCTCAGGCTGGAATGTTTTCATCCCAGTGTCAGAGCGAGAAAGGACCTCAGGGCTATTTAGGCCAACAGTTCTTAGAATGATTTCCTTGAATAGCAGACCTCTACCCAGGAGGTTTATCAGTGAATATGATGCCAACTAGGGTAAGGAACCACTTGGGTTAAGAGATCTTAAACTCTTTTCAACTATGTTATCGGGTAACCGCCTGCTTTGTGCAGGGTCCCACCTAGGAGCTTAGTATAGTGGTATTTTGAGCTTCCTGACTGAGTAATTTCTGACCTGGGAGTGGAATGCATGGTCAGACTGTGTAGGGGGCAGCAGCCCTGAAATGCTTAGTCATCCCCCCCTGAGCGCCTATGAGCTGGAGAGCTGACCAGATGCTCTTCCCTCAGCCATTCCGGGAGGCCAGTGGCACTCCTGGAGGTTCTGTTTCACCATCTAAACATTTCGGCCACTCTCCCATGGCTGGTTCCAGTAACAGTGGGGATCCCGGGACCCCACAGCCTTTCCTTCTATGGAAGAGGTCTGAGCCTCCAAGGGCAGGAAATGGAGAATCACTCTTCGCCCTTTTCAAAGATCTTCCAGGAGCTTGGGCTCCAGTGGAGCCTCTGGAGGGTGGGAACCTGCATTTGTCCCCGTTTCCAGCATGGAGCACAGTACTAGGTACAACACAGGTGCTTGTAGACATGAACTTGAACTTTGATTTTAGGATTGTCCTTTAAAGAACAGTGTCCATTATCCCCATTTTACAGATAAAGAAACCAAGGCAGCGATTTGCCTAAGACCATGGAGAACCTCAGGTACAAAGGAAGAGGAGACACTAAACCAGTTGCTCTTCGCTAAGGGCAGCCTGGTGCTGTAGAGGGCCTGGAGGCAGAGGGAGGTCTGCATAGTACAGGGTTCTCTGGGCCTTGGTTTCCCCATCTGGAAAGATGTGACCAGTAGACTGTCCTGTCTGTGTAAAAGTTGTGCCTCATTAGGCATTGGGACTAGGGTAAGGAACCACTGGTAGAGCCCGTAGGAGCTGAGGGACTCAGGGCCTGTGAAAGGGCTTTGCCCGCACTGAGCGCTGCAGGCGGGGGCGGCGGCTCCAGGAGAACATCCTCTCGCAGAGGCCTGGGGTCATCTCATCGGCTCACCCAGGGCAGAGTGACGGCTTCTGCTCCAGCAAGCACACAGTCACCATTTCTGACACTTCATCCTGTACTCACTCCCCTGACCTCCTTTGGTGCCTTTAAGAAAATGGCCGAAACCTGTTTGACTCAGTGGATAGAGCATCGGTCTGTGGACTGAAAGGTCCCAGGTTCAGTTCTGGTCAAGGGCATGTACCTTGGTTGTAGACACATCCCTGGTGGGGGGGAGGGGGGGGCAGGCAGCTGGTCGATGTTTCTCTCTCATCATTGTTTCTGGCTCTCTCTCCCTTCCTCTCTGTAAAAAAAACAAAAAACAATAAAATGTATTTTTGTTTTTTAAAGAAAAAAGAAAATGATTACTGTAAATGAGAGAAAAATGCTTTGGGAAAAGATTCTTCTCTCAGCATTAAAGTCCACGGAGCGTTATTTAGAACCAGAAGCTGTGAGGTCCTTGTATTTAAAGATACCAGACTGCCTGTAGGACAGAAACTAGGTGATGGGAGGACAGGACATCCCTGTGACTTTGAAAGGAGCCCACCCCCCAGTGCGGGAGAAAGTGGGTAAGAAGACCTCGGAGCTTCTTCCAGCTCACCATGCATGCTCCCCATCCTCAGCTGGGCTGGAGCCTCTGCTCTCCCTGTACCCTGCCCAGATAGAGCTGGAAGTTCTCCCCTGCACAAAGGGAGTGAGGGGTGCCCATGGGGGGACAGCCCCGCCCAGAAGACATGTGAGTTCCGATTCCTGTATAGATGGGTGTTGGGGGCGATGGACTCGTCCTTCCTTCTCTGGGCCTCACCTCCCTGCCATCTCTCTGTGGTGGAGCTGACAGCAACCTCGGAGGGAGGGCCGATGTGCTATACGGACTAAGGAGACCAGGCCCAGGGGGGCGCTAACATTTTCCCTTGGACCAGGGTCTGTGAAGTACCTAAAAGGGGTGCATCAGGCAACTTGGGCAGGAAAATCTGAACGAGATGGAGACATCCAGGGGCAGCTCTTGTTGCACCAAATATAGTTAAACATTTGGGACATATTTTCCATTAGATGTGGTTTGGTTTTTTTGTGTTGGGTTTTTTTTTGTTGTTGTTGTTTTTTTTTGTCTTTGAATAAGAGCGGCATTTATCCAAGTCCCCAAAGCAGGCTGGGGACGGGATCTGTCTGTGGTTCCTGCAGGCCGCCAGTGAGCCTGGCGTGTGTCCAGGCCTGGCTTGGCTGCCAGTGGCCCTCAGAGAGGAGTATTTGACTCAGCCAGGGTTCAGGGGTTTCTTTTCTCACAGCGGCTGCCACCAGGAAGACAGAGAGGGCCCCAGTTCAGCCCAGAGGGGGTCTTCTTGGGGGTCTCTTGTGGTGCTGGGGGGACCCAAGGGGAAGGTAAGGACCCGGTGCACGCAGACACGAGGGCCAGAGTCAGAGGGTAAGGTTGAGGGTGGGGAGAGGGATGGCCAATATGGCAGTGAGGTCCTCTTTGCACGCTCAGACTCCTGCTGCTTTCTCAGGTGTAAGGTGATGAGAACTGAAAAATTAAAAACTTATGAAATCCACATAGATTGGTAGTTCAGTTTATAGTGTGCTGCCAATGTCAGGTTCCTGGTTTGGATCATTGTATTATGGTTATGGAAGGTGTGAACAATGGGGGGATGGTTATGGAAGGTGTGAACAAGGGGAGGACGAGGCTGGGTGCTTGTGCACATGTGAAGACACATGTTTACACAGAAACTTCACTAGGCCCAGCTGGGGGAATGGTACACAGGAACTCTCCGTACTGTTGTGTAACTTCTACATGAGTCTAGAATTATTTCAAAACAAAAAGTAAGCCCTGGTGTGCTTCAGTGGTTGAGTGTCAACCATGAACCAGAGGCCATGGTTCGATTCTCCATCAGAGCACATGCCCAGGTTTTGGGCTCCATCACCAATAGGGGGCATGCAGGGGGCAGCCAATCAATGATTCTCTTTCTTCTTCATTATTGTTTCTCTCTCTTCCTCTTCCTCTCTGAAATCAATAAAAAACATTTTTTAAATAAAAATAAAAAAAAGTGAACCTGCCTTGTAAACTTTGGAGCACCATGGTCCACACTGTCCTTTACCAGCGATTTGTGGAGGGCCAGCCCCCCTAACTTGCGGCCCATCCAGTCCTCGCACAGCCCTGGGAGATAGTGCGGGGACAGCATTTAGCACAAAGAAAAAGCGTGAAACGGTTAGCGAATGTTATCAGTCTTATCCTCATTTTAAAATGAGGAAACAGCCCTTGCCAGTTTGTCTCCGTGGATAGAAAGCCTGCGGACTGAAGGGTCCTGGGTTTGGTTCCTGTCAAGGGCACGTACCTCAGTCACAGGCTCTTCCCTGCCCGGGTGTGGTCAGGCTCCTGCGGGAGGCAACCAATCGATGTGTTTCTCTCACATGGGTGCTCTCTCTGTCTCTCCCTCTCTCTGGAAAATCAATGGGAAAATATCCTCCAGTGAGAATTAACAACAACTATTAATAATATTATTAATAAGAAGAAATTAAAATGAGGGAACAGTTCTTTTCAAAGAGCTGAAATGACTTGACCAAGTCCCATCGCTAAAAGTGGCCACAGTGGGGTTTGATTCCACATCTCCAACCTAAAACTTTCGACTACCAGATTCTTCTATTACTTTGACAAGAATTATTTGTAAAAATTTTCTTGGGCCCAGCTGGTTGAGTGTCGACTCATGAACCAGGAGGTCATGGTTCAATTCCTGGTCAGGGCACGTGCCCGGGCTGCAGGCTTGATCCCCAGTAGGGGGGATGCAGGAGGCAGCCAATCGATAGAAACATCTATTGATAAATAAATAAAAACATTTAAAAAAAATTTTTTTAGCCGGCACCGGTTTGGCTCAGTGGTAGATCGTCGGTCTGCGGACTGAAAGGTCCTGGGTTCGATTCCAGTCAAGGGCATGTACCTTGGTTGCGGGCACATCCCCAGTAGGGGGTGTGCAAGAGGCAGCTGGTCGATGTTTCTCTCTCATCGACGTTTCTAGCTCTCTATCCCTTTCTCTTCCTCTCTGTGAAAAATCAATAAAAATATATTTAAAAAAAAATTTTTTTTTAAAGTAAAAAAAAAATTTTCTTGGGACTTCTAGACAGAGTTCTCCCCTTGGGGACAGGAGGACTGTCCTTGGGGCTGCCTGTGGGCCAGCCTCTGTGGGTTAAAGGGGAAGAGGGTGGAGAAGCTTGGAGTTCGGAGGTAGAGGCTGGCAGTGCAGTCCTGAGGCCTCTGCTGCCACGCACTCGATCCTGCCAGCGTGGCTGGTGGACCCGGAACACAATCCCGTCCCACGTGGCGTGTTCTGTGAGCGGCTTCTGTTGCTCTGAGCCCTGACAGGTGGACAGTCTCTCCTGGGTGGGAGGTGCTGCTCAGGACCTCCTTGTGGGGAGAGCCAAAGCCTTGGCAGTGCTCCCGGCTCAGCCGGCTCTGGATTCGGCCCCCAGGCTGCCCAGAGGGAAGCTGGGACTCAGGCCCAGTCCATTATCGGCGTAGCGGCCCTTCACTAGCTGCCTCTCTGTGTTGCAGAGGACACCTACAGCTCGGAGGAGACTGTGGACCAGCAGCCTGTGCACCTGAGGGTCATGGACACCGCAGACCTGGTAACAGCACCCCCATTGCAGCGGAGAGGGCGGCCTCCTGAGAAGTCCTGGCCCCCAGCAGGGGCGGCCGCGGATGGGAACATCCCCTTTCAGCTCCAGTTTGCTGCGTGGCCCTCTCCTGGCCCGAATCTCTTCATTTGCCAGATGAGGAGGAAAGGGGTGGGGCCTGGAGAGACTTGAGGATCGAGGGCATCAGCCCCAAGATCCTGTGCTCTGGGGCCTGATGCTCGTGCACACGTGGAGACAGGTGCACACACACGTTTTCACGAGGCTTCCCTCGGCACAAGTCCCCCCCCCCCCCAACACACCCATCTCCCTGTGTTCTCACCACCGCCTGCCAAGGCCGGATGCCACTCGTTCTCAGCAGCCAAAAGAGCACCATGAACCTGACCCGAAACCAGCGGTGCCCAGAGACAGCCAGGTCTCTTTAGGGGCCCTGTCCCGGTGCTGGCTCCGCGCCCCAGAGGCCAAGGTCTCCGAGTCTCCGGCTGGGTGGGGGGAGGGAGGCTCACGAGACAAAGTCTCCTTTCACCCCGAGCCAAACCCACGCTCAAGTACCCCTTTGACGAGGGCTCCGCCGGGAAACAATATACAAAGACCCCGGGAGCGGGCGGTGCAGGGGGGTAGCTCAGGTGAAGGCCTTCGCCCTGACCGCCTCCGTCCCTGACCGGGGCTCCCCTCCTCTGCCCCAGGACACCCCCAGGAACTGCGAGCGCTACCTGAACTGGGCCCACGCCTTCCTGGTGGTGTACAGCGTGGACAGCCGCCAGAGCTTCGAGGGCAGCGGCCGCTACCTGGAGCTGCTGGCGCTGCACGCCAAGGAGACGCAGCGCAGCCCCCCGGCCCTGCTGCTGGGCAACAAGCTGGACATGGCCCAGTACAGGTGAGCGCGGCGGCGCCCCGCACCTCTCGCCCCGCGTCTGTGAGGTCTGGGAGCCTCTTCAGGGAGTATTTGGCTGCTAAGAACAGGAATCTGGAACTTGGGTGAAAGGGGGGGTGCTGTGAGGGGTGGTCTTCTAGGCAGCCATGGACAGGAAGGGAGGAGCATCTGGGCAGCATGGGGGCTGGACCCTGAGAGTCAGAAGAGAGGCCACGTCTCCTCTCTCGGCCTCACCCTTTCTTGCCTGAGTCTGTATGACCTTCTGTTCTCACTCGGTGCAGCTGGCTGGTCACGCTGTGCCCAGTTCCAATTCTAGGGAAGGAGAATCCCATTTATCGGGTAAGGAGTCTGCTCTGGTGCAACCGGCTCTCACCTCACCCACGCCCAGCCCCCAGGCTCACTTCCACGGCTGGCTGTGCTGAGGGCAGTTCTCTCAGCAAGGGCTGGACTTGGATCAGAGGTCACCGACTGGACCAGAGAGCAGATTCCTGTCGAATACTGCAGCCATCTGTTGCTCGGAGGCACTGTATTTGAGAAGGCCTGGGACTGGAATGCTGTGAGGCAGGGCATGCTCTTTCTAGCTGACCACAGGCCTCGCCACTCCCTGTGGCTCCCCTCTCTCCTCTCCTCTTCCTCTTCCTCTTCCTCTTCCTCTTCCTCTTCCTCTTCCTCTTCCTCTTCCTCTTCCTCTCCTCTCCTCTTCCTCTCCTCTTCCTCTCTCTTTCTCTCCACACACATTTAAGTTGCCTGTCTGCCCTGAAGCATCTGAAACTACGATGCCTGCACTTGATAAGTAGTCTCATGGGCATTCCTGCTGACATCCGTCCTAAGTGGCCAGTCCACCTGCAAGGCATGGCACCTTCTACAAGCCTGCCCCCGGTCCCTCCCTGCTCACGGACGGCCACTCCTGATTCCTGAGGCCCCTCGGTGCATTGGCTGGTGGTAGCAGGAGAGGCCCCTTTGTTTAAAGCAGGTCAGATGGGTAGGGGGAAAAGGGGTTGCAGCCTCATGAAGGGGGGCAAGCCCTCAGACCCAGACGTTCCATCTCAGGGCACCAAGGAAGCTGTGTGAGCTTAAAGCCAAAATGAACCACAGAGCCCCGGAGCCTAGAAGACTGGATTGAGATAAACTAATGAGGAAAAAAAACCAGACCGTTGTTTTGATCCCATTCTTTGCCAAATAGCTTGTCTAAAAATGGTTTGGGAGCAAATAACAAAGAACGTAGCTCAAGTGAAGCAGCATCCGTTCCCTGAGAACAAGTCCCCGTGTCCCCATTCCCTTCTCAGATCAGGCCTCTAGCTTAGGCGGCCAGGATCTGGTGGGCATCTGGAGCTGAGCACTGATCAGTGCCTCCCGTGACTGTCCTGCAGCGAAATGTGGTTCAGCGCAGCGGCTCCCAAACCACTGATAAAATGTTCACCAGGCTCCAACACAATGAGGAAAAGGCTGTTACATGCCTGCCTCACCCACTCACACGCATGCACGGGGGAGGCACGGGGTTCTTGTTTCTGAACGCTCATTAGTCAAGCCCCACGATGACAGTTTCAGATTTAAGTTTATTATGAAAGTAAATAATACTAACTATTCCTTCACCAGGGGCACCTCGGGAAGCACTGAGCTTGTAGACAGGACACCAGCCCTGGGTGGGGACGGGATTGGGTGCTCTGCCCTGACCCTTTCTGTCCCAGTCACTCTAGCTATCTGGTACTCCGCTGGGGAGCTAGCCCGCTCCCAGCCCCCTGCTCCGGCCAAATGAACCCTGGCTCCGAAACCTGAGAGGCAGAGGTCATTGTCCCATTTCCCTGATGAGAAAGCTAAACCTCGCAGCTTCCTAGTCGCCGAGCCAGGAGGTGGGAGCCTGGGGTGGGCCCAGGCCTGCGGGGCGTGGACGCCTGCTCCTGACCTCACCTCGCCCTCCTTCCCCTCCAGGCAGGTCGCCGCGGCAGAGGGCGCGGCCTTGGCGGGCAGGTTTGGGTGCCTGTTTTTCGAGGTCTCGGCCTGCCTGGACTTCGAGCACGTGCAGCACGTCTTCCACGAGGCAGTGCGGGAGGCGCGGCGGGAGCTGGAGAAGAACTCGCCGGCCCCGCCCCTCTTCCTCTCCGAGGAGAGGCCGCTGCCCCGCCAGGCCCCGCTCACCGCCCGGCACGGGCTGGCCAGCTGCACCTTCAACACGCTCTCCACCGCCAGCCTGAAGGAGATGCCCGCCGTGGCCCAGGCCAAGCTGGTCACGGTGAAGTCCTCCCGGGCCCAGAGCAAGCGCAAGGCTCCCACCCTGACCCTGCTGAAGGGCTTCAAGATCTTCTGAGGACCCCAGGCTCCGAGCCCGGCGGGGCTGCGGGGGGGAAGGGGCTGGCTGACCTCTGGCCACTGGCTTTCCCTCTGATGGAACCATAGCCGGCGCCCTCTGGTGGACGGCTGGCCTCTGCGCCAGCACCAGGCCGTGTCCAGGACACCCAGTTCAGTGTGTGAGCTGGAGGGATGGGCAGGAATGCTGCTCCTATCCCGAGGGCCTTGGTTTCCATGGTAACCACGACAGTCCCTGCCATGGAAGGAAAACAGCCCCCCTCGGACACCCCAGACGCCTGGAGGCAGCCTTAAGCAGGAGGAAACTGCGGTGTCCATGGTGGTATCACCCCTTCCTGCTCCAGCTCCAGCCACGCCAGAGGTGGCCCCTGGTGGACAGCTCCGGTGGACAGCTCCAGGAGGCCCGAGGACATCCTGCAGGAAGGACAGGCTGAGGCCCTCGAGCCACCTGGTGGACGGGAGGGCAGGGTGGGCCCAGGGTTTGGAGGGCCAGAGTCTGGTCCTCCCGTTGTTTCCTGATCTCACAGAAGCCCCGGCAACAAACACCACAGTTTTTCTAAACAACATCTAGTGTGAACCCATGGGACATCCTGCAAGAAGCAAAGTCTCAGGAGGGGCTCTTCCCGTGCGTGGCCTCTTAAGGAGGGGAGAGGGAGAGGCTGTGGGCGTCCAGTGAGGGGGCCTTAGGATTGTCCACCAGAAGGTGAGGGTCCCCTTATTTTCCCACCTCAAGTGAAGGACTCCGCCCATAGCCAGGGCCAGCCTCCTGAGTATAATGATCAAAGCTGCAGAACGAAGTTTCCCTCTCTAGTGACAAGGACTCGGGATTCCAGGGAGCCCACGGCTGGCAGTGTCTGACATCCAGGCACCATGAGCTGGGAAACGGTTTACCAGTATCTGACCAGATGACCAGTTTGTAGCCTGGTTCAGCAGGACCCGGTACCCTTCATCCTGGGTCTGAGTGTCCAAGGTCTTCTTTTGGATGATAGAGCCTAAAGCATTTTTGGTTCTTAAAAGCAAGTTTTTGCATAAATTATTTGGGGTTGCCCCCACAGCTGGGGCTCAGACACAGATCAGGACTCCCCCTTGGGGTCCCATAGTTAGCAAGAGCAGGGTCTCAGAGGTAGGGCGTCCCCTAGGTTCTAACTCCTTGTACCATGAGACCCCTGGCCCAAAGGCAGTCTTTCATGTATCCTCAGCAGAGAATCAGGTGAAGGAGAGGCCCCTATGGGAGGAAGGGCTGGGAAGGGGATTCTGAGCCAGAATCCCGCTCCTTTCCCTGCCAGCCATTCCAGGAGCGTGGATGGGGAACAGCGGGTCTAACCCAATCAGCTCCGTTGAGTAGAGGTGAAGCCGAGGTCAGAGAGAGCTGGGACCTCCTTGGACCACAGGCCAGGCTTCCTGACCTGCAGGCTGGCTGTGGATTTTGCACTTTTGCTCCCAGCCACATACGTGGGGACCACCCCCATTGGAACAAACTATGCAATTCCAGCTGCCCACATTGGGAAGCATTTTAATAAAAAGGGGGTTTACGGGGTGTTTTATTTTTCCTCCCATCACAGAATTGTAGTTGGGTGGCCGTTCTTCCGGTTTCATCTGCTCACAGCACGGGGGCCCTGCCCGGCCCTCTCACTAGCTCTCGGATTCCTGCGGGTCTGGAGGGAAGGCTGGTGGCATGCTCCTCTCCTTTAACTCAACGTCCGCCTCGGCCACGGTCAGCTTTTCTGAGAGCAAAGTCTCCCTGAGGATGTTCAGGTTGTTGTCATCTTTGGTTCTGGCCTCAGTCAAGACTTCGGGAGGTTGTTTTTCCCGGGGCAGCGTCTTCTGCTTTCTGTGGGGGAAGAAAACACTGCTGAGCGTGCGTGTCCCCTGAGCTGGGGGTACTGAGTGGTTGGGGGAGGCCTGGGTTTCCCAGATGCGATGGAGAGCTTGAGGGGAAGACCCAGGAGGCTGTCCTGGGAGCCGATGGGGAGACGGTTTTGATGTCCTTGCAGCAGAGAAACAAGAGTGGACTTGCCTGTGCCTCTCGCAAAACCCTCCTTGCCACCTGCGAGCGCCACTCCTAGTGCTCCTCCTACGGAGCACATGCCTGGGACCTGCATTTAAGTCTCCTGACTCTGAGTCCTGTGTTTTCACCAAATCACATTTTTTCCGATCCCAGAACTGTCATGGCACTTAGTGCAGGTCCTGGTCACCCCCCACCACACCCCCGGCAAACTGCAGGGATCTCCTAAACGATCTTCCTGCCTCTCAGCATTTCCTTCTCCAACCCAACCGAAACACACAGTCACGTCCCCAAAGCCCTGGTGTGCACACATCACCCCCCCCCCCAGCTCAAGCACCTTCCGTGGCTCCCTACTGCCCACCTCCTTCACCCGGCATCCAGCCTGCCTTCCTTTCAGTAACTGCCTCAAATGTCCTCCCTCTCGGGGGTTTTACTCCAGGTACCGTTCCTGGGCCCTGGGGTGGGGAAAGGGGGTGCAGCTCAGTGTCTGCTGCTCCCATGTCTCTGAGTGGACCTTGCTGAGGGGCTGCTTCCCGACAGGATGAGGGAGGCAGAGCCCCTTAAGGCAACACCTCTGGGCCCTTCTGCATCCTTCACGCAGAATGAGCTTCTAAAACAGAAACCTCTCACGTCCCTGTGCAAAGCCCTTCTCATGAGCTAGAAGCTGAACTCGTTAGGATGGCCCTCAGAGTGTGTACACCCTGGGTCCTGCCGCCTCTTGTCCTCCCCCTCTCTCCCACCCTCCTCTGCAGCCTTCCTCACACCCCACCTACAGCCACACTGGCCCTCCCTCCCACCTGGAGTTCGGTGCATGCTGCCCCTTGGTCTGGAGGCTTCGGCAGCCAGCCTACCATCTCTTTGCCCCGAAGGCCCCAGACCCCAGCTCTGTGCTCCCACAATACCCTGTGTGTCCCACAGTCACTATCTGTCACTTTGAACTACCGTCACCTCCTCAGCGATCTGTAGATTCCATAAGGCCAAGGCCAACTCTGTCTTGGCCGCTGTTGAGACCCCACGCTCAGGACAGAGCTTGGCACAGAGCAAGTGCTCAGCCCCTATCTCCCTCTCTGAGGGTGAGTGATGAAGGGGCCACGGCAGTTCATAATGGCTAGTTCTCAGTGTGAACTATGGGGTTATTTCTTTTTGACTTGGTAGCAGAACTGTGAGGAGGATTCATAGATAATGTAAAATACGGCGTATAAGGAAGAGCAGGGAAGGTAGGCCAATCCTCCTGTGCATCCTTAAGGACCTTATTTTGTACAATGGGAATTAATAACTTATGCCTGCTGTGCCTTACAGAGTTTTTTAAGGATCAAATAAGAGAATGTGAAGGTGCTTTTAAAATCACAAAGCATGATACAGACTTGACGGCGAGAGTCTCATTATTGTTTCAGAGTTACTGATGTGATGTTGGTGGGCATATAGCAATTGCTGAATGCGTGAATGAATTAATGGAGATGAGTGAGCTAAGTATTCATTGAGTGAGTTCTAGGTCCACACATCGTGGCAATTGCTTAGGGGAAACACGTAGAATCAAATGTGGTCCCTGCCCTCAAGGATCTCAAACATTAGCCCTGAAGCCATCCAGAGAGTTTAGCCACATGCCTCTGTCCAGGCCTCACCCTAGCCCCAATATGTCAGAATCTCCAAAGGGGGCCCAGCATTCTGAACGTTTAATAGTCCGGTGATTGTGTGTGCACCCAGGGTTGAGGAGTATTGTCGTTATAAAAATCACCCCAGGAGTCTCACCTGCCATCAGGGCTCTATCCGAGCCCTGCTTTTGGCCTTGGAGCAGACTTTCCCCTTGACAGCATCCCTTCCTCTGCAGTAGCCCCACTGAGCTCTCCCCACAGAGAACTGGGTCCTGCCACCACTCATAGGAATAACTGGTTCAGAGGTATTCGGTGTGCTGCCCCGCTGGAGAGTGACAGAGCCAGAGATCCTGACCTCTGAGACAGACCAGCCCCTACCCTGTTCCCTGGCCAGGGCCAGCAGGTGATAACTTGGGACAGATCCTAGTTTTCCAAAAATTCTGGGTTCTCAGAAGACCCTGACGACTGCATTTTACTGTCCCTTGGGAGGGCAGGGCCCCCACCTTCCAGAGCCCCCCCCCCCAGACCATCTCCTCACCTGTTCGCCTTAATGCTCCTTCCCAGGAGGACCATGCTTATCACGACCACCACACCCACCAGGGCAAAGATGGAAATATTCCAAGGAGATGCTGGGGGGACACAGAGGGCAGAGACTTGAGCAGAGGCTGGGGTGCCCCTTAGGCCCCCTGATGTTTGAGGTTTGGGCTCAGACATAACTCACAGCATCCATGGTCCCTGCTGTGGATCAAATGTTGTAGGTGAAGAGGAGCCCTCCACCCTGTGGGAACTCCAGTGTGTGTGGGGGGGGGAGGGGGGGCGCCAAGATCTCTGCCTTGGAGCAGCCCTAATCTAATGGGGCCAGCACTGCAGTTCGGTGGTAGTGGGGTGGGGGTGGGTGAGTCAAGATAAACTTCACAATCTTCAGACTAAGGCATTGGGCAGTGCCAGGAAAGGAAGGAAGAAAAGGAGGGCACAAGAAGAGAGGGAGGGATGGAGGGAGGAAAGGAGGGAAGGAAGGAAAGAAGGGTGGCAGTTAAAATGGATCCAAGAACTGCCCACAGTTAAAGTGGTTAATCTGAATCTGGATAGCCGAGATCTGGCCACACTGTACTGACCTGAGGCAGGATCCAGCCTCAGAGCTTTGGCATTGGCTGTTCCCTCTACCAGGAATGGTCTTCCCCCACATAACGAAGTCCTTCACCTCCTAATGCCTTCATTCAAATGTCACCTTCTAAGTGACCACATTACCTACCCTTTGCTACCCACTTCCTATTCCCTTTCTCTGCTTAATTTCCACCCTTATTTTTTCTCAGTCCTGGAATCATCCAGAGCATTTAACAAAATGCCACTGCCCAACTATACATTTTGATTGATTGCCCGACTATACCTGTTTATTTTCTCTCTCTTTCACGAAAACATATGCTTTGTGAAGGCAGAGTTTGGTTTTATTCAGCGCTGAAAACAGTGCCTGGCACACAGAAGGAACTTAAATATTTGTGACTGATTGGAGGGTGAGTAAATGAATGACCAAGCCCCGAAAGAAGGACCATGAGGTTTAACTACACCCTCCTGGGCACTGAGACCCTCAGCTGCTTTGAAGCAAATGTGCAGCCTGTTGTGGAGGAAGGGACCATGTCCAGGCTTCAGCCAGAGTCCAGTTTGTGTTTTGTGTTGAGAGGACATACCACACACACCAATCCCTTGCCACTTACCATCTTCTACCCGAAAAAACCAAAGCATTTCTTCCAGCAGCTCCGGAGGCACCACAGTGCCCGCTGGTGCTTGGGGAACCCCCTCGCCATGGGGCACGCCCAGATCCTGGTTGGGGTACATTTCTGGCAACGAAGTCCTTAAGCCCCTTCGGCCCCTCAGCTTCCCCTTTGGCCTCGTAGGTGCTGGCCCCTGAGCAAAGCCCTGCAGATCCTGGAAACAAAGCAGAAAGCATGACCTATAGCCGACCCCACCATGAGCTCCCCTCCTGCCAAACCCAATTCTCCTCTCACTCCAAGTTACAGGACCAGAACTGGCTGACCCAGAGAGGTGGGGCCTGGAAAGGCAGAGACCACAGACTTGGGAGTCACTCTGCCGGGGTTCTTGTCCAAGCTTTACAAAGGGTTCAGCAATCTGGAGAAAGGAGCTGCGCATAGATGATTAAAGAGTCCAAGGATGAAAGATAATTTTGAAAGGCACTGGGGGTCAGAGGATCTTCAGCTAAAAGAACTAAAGACTACTCTTGGTCTAAGGGCCCTGTGCTATTTATTAACACAATTTGTCCTAAGGCAAGGTGGCGACATACACTTCAAAGGGTACAGTTTACAGAAGCATTGTCAGTTTGGAGAATAGCCTACAGGTGTTCAGGTGTTTGGCCAACAGGAGGCAATAACATGTAGATTTAAGATGCCCTGAGCTGTCTGGTAGCAAACAGTAATCCTATTCAGGTTTAGGGGAAGTGCTGTTTAGCCGTTCCAACAGGTAAACTACAAACATGGCTCAGCCCTTGTTGAGCCCCCGCTAGCTTCACTAACCTTTTGCTGAAACTCTTATAATTATTACATGCTGGAATTGGTTCTCTGCATCACTCAAGTCTTTATTAAAACTCATCACGCATGGGGAAGAGCACTGACTTGGAGTGAGAAGGACTAAGCCACTGCTGGGCTGTGGGATCCTTGCAGGGGACACTGTCCATTTTTGCCTGCTCAGCATCCCCATCTAGCTTCTATAGCCCAGCTCCCTTCACCCTGGTTCCTTAGCAAACTTTCCCATCCCTTGCCTTTGATTTTCATGTGGTAGCCAGTCACAGACCCACATAGCAATGGTTGGGCCTCTCACAGTCTCTTATCTGGAGATCGGCATGCCTGTGACCCAGAGGCGAGAAGAGAAAGTACCAGAAAAGAGTAGCTGTCAGCTGTTGCTGCTGAGAGCGGGCAGCTCACTTTCTTCGCTGCCACCTTAGGCCTGACTGCCCAGTGCTGCTCTCGTACCGCAGCCCCCTGATAACTTTTTTTTGGGGGGGGGTGGAGGGGAGGACATATTATAAGAATTGTTTGTCGTGCAAGAAACTAAATCCATGCTCCCTGGCTACATCCTTTCATTAATTTCAGCCTGTTTCTGTTCTCGAAAAACAAAGCAAGTTAAGCAATCTATGTTTACTAAGTCAGACATTGAAACCTAGTAATAAAAAATCATAAGCAATTCCAATTTTGGATGTTGACATAAGGCCACATCACTATATCAAGAGATCAGAACAGAAATTTCGTGGAGACCTATGCACACATGGGAACTTGATGTATAATAAAGGACGCTCCACTGATAGGTAGGGAAAGGAGGAGTCGTTTAGGAGGTGCCGGGAACTGGCTCACTGTGTGGAAAAAAGGAAGACTGGATGTACACTTAACAGTACATACAAAAACAGACCCCACATTAAAGGCTAAATGTAAGAGGGAGAAATATAAAGTTAATAGAAACGGGGTAAAACTTTTTAAAAAAATATATTTTATTGATTTTACACAGAGAGGAATTGAGAGGGACAGAGTTAGAAACGTTGATGAGAGAGAAACATCGACCAGCTGCCTCTTGCACACCCCCCACTGGGGATGTGCCCGCAACCAAGGTACATGCCCTTGACTGGAATCGAACCCGGGACCTTTCAGTCTGCAGGCCGACGCTCTATCCACTGAGCCAAACCGATCCCGGCGGGGTAAAACTTTTTAAACAAAACCATAAAGCTCAAATTATTCAATAATAACAAAAAAAAAACAACTGATGAATTTGATTATATCAAAAATAAGATTATTTGTTCACTGAAGAATACCATCAATAAAGTAACTAACATCTTTCTGATTGGGGATACTTGCAATGCTTAACACCAGGAAGAGACTGAGATCTAGTCTACACAAAGAATTCTAGCACATTAACAAGAAAAAGACAGCAGCCCTAATGAATGGGTAAAGGATCTAAACTGCAATTTACAACATAGGAAACCCCAAAGGCTAGCAAGCATATGAAAAAGTGCTCAAACTCTATGGTAATCAGAAGGATGAAAATTAAAAATGAAATACCAGCTGAAACTGGTTTGGCTCAGTGGATAGAGTGTTGTCCTTTGGACTGAAGGGTCCTGGGTTCAAGGGCATGTGCCTTGGTTGCAGGCACATCCCTAGTGGGGGGGGTGCAGGAGGCAGCTGATGGATGTTTCTCTCACCTCAATGTTTCTAGTTTTCTATTCCTCTCTCTTCCTCTCTGTAAAAACTCAATAAAATATATTTTAAAAAAAGAAAGAAATACCAGTCGACATCCATCAGATCATCATAGTTGGAAAGGTGAATCATGTCATGTGTTTGCGGTTCTAGGCCAGTGGTTGACAAACTCATTAGTCAACAGAGCGGCAAACCATGGCTCACAAGCCACATGTGGCTCGCCAGCCGCAGTTTACCGACCACTGTTCTAGGTCATAGCCTCATGCACTGACAGGGGGCAAAGAGAGCAAATTAGTCACAGTAAGTGTGCACAGCCACTCTGCTCCTGAGTGTGTAATATATAAAAAAGTGTATCCCTAATGCTCGGCTGGTGTGGCTCAGTAGTTGAGCATTGACCTATGAACCAGGATGTCACAGCTCTGCTCCCAGTCAGGACACAAGCCTGGGTTTTGGGCTCGATCCCCAGTGGGGGGCATGCAAGAGAGTCTCATCACTGATGTTTCTATCTCTCCTTCTCCCTTCCTCTCTGAAATTAATAAAAAATATTTAGAAAAAAGTCGCCGAAATCGGTTTGGCTCAGTGGATAGAGTGTCGGCCTGCAGACCGAAAGGTCCCGGGTTCGATTCCGGTCAAGGGCATGTACATTGGTTTCGGGCACATCCCCGGTGGGGGTTGTGCAGGAGGCAGCTGGTCGATGTTTCTCTCATCATTGATGTTTCTAGCTCTCTATCTCTCTCCCTTCCTCACTGTGAAAAATCAATAAAATATATTTTTTTAAAAAATATTTCTAAAAAAGTATCCCTAAGGATCACAGAGGACATGCCATACTGTTTATGGAAATACAAAATATATGCACACAAAACAACACATTAAAAAAAACAGTTAAAAAAAAACACACATATTAGAATAGTTCTCTCTGGGGGAAAAGGAAAAAGGGAACAAGAAGGGAGATAAAAGTAACTAAAAATGTAAAAGATGGGTTTTAAAGAAACCATAGAAACACGTCATGGGGCTAACAACAACAAAGAGGTCCCAAGCTACCTCCAGTCCCCCCACTCCACTGCCTTCCGAAGTGCCTTGGAGGCCCAGCCAGGAACGTGAGAAACAACAGATGGCAAACAGACAGACACAGTGCTAAAATAAGGACTCAGCATCAGGCCCCCGAGGCTCTGAGAAAACAAGAAGCATCTACAGGTTTTGAGAGGAAATATTTTCACATGTGAAATACCATTCACATGTCAAGGTGGAGATGGAATTCAGGGGGAGAAAAAGGACCTGTTGAGACTTCTGAGGACTCAGAGGCATTCTACCCACTTATCCTTTTGAGGGGTAGCTATAATAATAAAAGCATAATATGCTAATTAGACCGGACTGCCAAATGACCTTCCTACAAAGCTGGGGCTGTATGTATATATACTGAATAATGAAAAGACAAAGTTTCAGGGATGGCTAATTGTGGTGATCTTGTTTCCAGTTCCAACTGCCTGTCCAGAGCACTTGCTGAGAAGGGTTGTGACTTTCTGTCCAATCTCAGATGCAGGAGTGCCTGGATTAATTAGTAACATCGCCCAAAGGCCCCTGCTGCCTATGCAGACCTCCGCACACCCACCGAGAAGAGGGTGAAGGTCCAGAAAGCAAACACCGACTCCCTCTGGGAAGGTGGGATGGGGCCTAGACACCTGGGAACACTTTGAATATTTCTGTATCATATACACTTCTCATGAGTACACACTACCTTCATGAAAACAATACCTGGAATTATATGTATTTAAATGTATATCTTTTTTTTCTTTTTTTAAAATATATTTTATTAATTTTTTACAGAGAGGAAGGGAGAGGGAGAGAGAGCTAGAAACATCAATGAGAGAGAACTATCGATCAGCTGCCTCCTGCACACCCCCTACTGGAAATGTGCCCGCAACCAAGGTTCATGCCCCTGACTGGAATCGAACCTGGGACCTTTCAGTCTGCAGGTTGACACTCTATCCACTTAGCCAAACCAGTTAGGGCTTAATGTATATCTTAAATATATTTTTCTATATTTGAATATATATATATATATATATATATATATATATATATATATATATATAGTATTTATAACTTTTTAGACAATTCCAATTTGGGGTATTTAATTAATAAAACTAATTAAGATGTCAGTTATTCCCAACTTGACTGATGGATTCGATACAATTCCAATAAAAATCCCAGCAAGTTATTTTATGGGTATCCACAAAATGATTCTGGAGTTAGGTGGTGTGGCAAAGACCCAGGATAGCCAACGCAGCACTGAAGAACCAAGTCAGAGGACTGACACTACTTCAAGCCTTCCTGTGAAACTGCGGGGGTCAGGACAGTGTGGTGTCGGAGCCAATCTGATAAGACACACATAGTGGAATGTGTGTCTTAAATATGGTGATATTATTATAATAAACATCAACAAGCAAAATAACAAGTCGGACTCGAGTCCAGAACTGAGAGTCAGCCCTCTGGGCTGTGTTAGATGCTCCAGAAACAAAGACCCACTTCCCCTCAGAACACTTCACCAGTTTCCTTCTAGAATGAGCATCATGTTACTATCCCCGCTTTTAAAAAAATTAACCCACATTTCATGAGTTATTTGGATTTTATTTTTCTATG